ATTAACCTTGGTTTAGTAAAATTATTGTCTGCTATTTGGTGAGTCTTACCTAAGGCTTACCAGTGTGAGATGCATCTGTCAAGAGGGGTGTTTTTGTGCAGCTGTGGCTTTTGAGAGTTACCATGCAAATTATCTGACGTCATGACACTCATTTCTTTGTGTGTGTTGCAGTAAATGAGCTGTGATGAGGCGGTTCCTGTCAAGTGTAGCCTGTCACCATGATGGTGAAATGGAAGTTCCAAGAAAACAGAGGCAGAGGGAAATAAAAGGAAAATAAATGGAAGGAGTATAACTCTGACACAGTTTTTCCTAACCTGTTCTGCCAGAAGGCTTCCAGACCTTGTGGAGTTCTGCACAGATAGAATTTGTTTCCACTGAACCCTTGAAAGAATCATTTTAAATAGGTCAAATACAGTTTCCTTGCTTTAAAGTTACCTATCTCTTGCTATTTATGAAACCGTAAGCAACCTTGACAACAAACGAACTGATCTGAGTTTCTGAAAATACTCAGTCATATATTTTTGTATATGATTGTTGTCTTTCAGTATGTAGTGTGGTGTTTTCACATGTGTTGGAGAAAGGAATAAATCCAGAAAATTTGGAATAAAGTTTAATTCTACACAATAATAGAGGCTTTTACTTGGACAGTCACAAATATAATTTTTCTTGCTGTGATTGTGAGCTGACATTGTTTTCTGTTTGTAGTTCATCATGAAGCACTTTTTATTTTTATTTTTTTCAAGAAGAATTTCAGGCATCTGTTGAAAAACAGTAAGAGAAAGCAGAGAAAAAGGGGAAGAAAATACTTTGCTTCCATGTGCCCATGCCAACAATGTGAAGCAGTTTTGGTGGCTGCCATTTGATTCTGTCACTTAAGGATGTAGAACTTTACCTGCATCAAAGTTACTTCACATTAGTTTCATGTTTACATTCAGAAGTAATTGTGTGTTGATCTTCATATGTCTGCTAGTTTTCCTTTATTTGGGCAAAAGTTTGTTGATGGTCTAGATGGAACGGCTTTGACTTAAGAATTTTACCTAAGTGTGTTTGCAGTGTAATTATATTTTAGCAGAATTAGAACTTTACTAGTCACATTTTTGATGTAACTGTATAGTGGACACAGTCTTATATCTCTATATATATATCTCTATATTACGTAGTTTTGTTGCTAGTTAGGATGGAAAATAAAACTGCAACTCTGATCAAGGATTAGAAAAAGGGAAAGTCATTGCTCCTGTGAGAAATGTAACAGGCATTTGTGATTGGTTATAACTTCCAATGTAGATGTTCTGAACGTGCATGAAAAGTAGCTTTTTATGGCAAAATTTAGTCTGATTTTGCAGTTAGTGTCAAGATCTTTTCAGCCCTAAGCTCATGCCAAACTTCTGTTTCAATTCTTAGCTTTGAAAAATCGTTTTGTATGTGACTTCAAAATGAAAGGGGTGCTGGGTTTCAGAGCTGGGTTGCCTTTGGCAAATGCGTTTCAAAGCCAGGTTTCTGGTGTCCATAGCAACCCGTGGAGAGGGAGGAGAGGCTGGACCCGGGCAGGACAGACAGGCAAATAGGAATTTAGAATTTGATAAATGAGAAAAAAGCTTGAGGTTGAAGCAAGTAGCAGGCCTGAGATGAGAGGCAACAGTGGATTGAATAAGGAGGGTGAAGCTGAGGTTGTCAATGGGTTGATGCATTTATGCCTAAGAGAGCATACTAATTTTAAAAGAACTGAAATAACACCCCAAACCTATAACAAAATGGTGGTGAAAATTACTGTCACTTTCCCCATTTCCCTTTGTGTGGTGGTATGTGGTGCAGGTAGTGTTTCCCTGCGATTGTTTCTTCCATTAGCTCATGGAAAAGGTTTGTGCATCTCTTTTATTTTGTATCCTTAAGTATGTATATTGCATAATCTCAAGTCGTGTTTCTCTTCCCCTCTACCCTGTTCTCCCATGAGACTTTATTTTATTTGCTTCATAGACTTGCTTTGAATATCTGCTGCAGAAGGTGGAAGAGCTGAGTGAATGAGATAGGACTGTGTGCAGAAAGTGTGTGGTCCTACATCAGGGTTTTAAAATTGTTCTAGAGCATAGGGCTGTTTCCTTAGGGAAATTTTGAGAACTAATAAATTCACTTAGGTGTATGTCTAAGTGCAGTGGAACGTAAAATATTGCTATGCATCTGTATAAATTTGTGGTAGGCTATCATAAAATTTTATATACCTCATACCGTGTTTACTGTACACACTGTGTGTCCTGCTTCGGAAAGAACAGTGTGTAACTGGAAAGGGTGGAGAGGAGGACAGGGTGGCTGGCCAGAGAATGGCTCTTGTGTAAGAAGCGGTTGATAGGAGTAGGGTTCTTTAGTTTTGCATAAAGGTAACTGGAGGAAGATACAGTATAGGCATCAAAATGAGGACTAAGGTGAAGATGGCTGTTTACTACCTCATGAAATTAAAAATCTGTGGATACCAAATATAATTAGCAGGATCAGGCTTAAAGGATGTATCTTCTACTCTGATGCCTAACTAAGCTGTGGAACTCCTTGCTTCTAGGTGCTAAAAGTTTATGCAGATTCAAAAGTGGTGTTCGTGGAAGGAGACTTGATGAACAGGTTGAAGTCTGATTCCGTATATAACTCTAGAAGTTCCTGGTCCAAAAATCAGAGAAAATGCTTTATAAATATTGCTTTTAAGTGATATATGCTTATTCTATTCTTATGTCCCTTCTTTACCATCCTAGTGATATTTGCTAATAGCTGTGGATAAAATGCTGGGCCAGATGGATCTTTGGTATCACATGTGGTGGCTGTTTGTATTAGTTAGGATGATGGCCGCTTTTAAAAAGCCAAGGAGGGAATCTGGTAGCTCTGTATTCAGAGAACTGTTGCAGTGATGGCTGGTATATTTAAAAAATGAAGCCAAAGTAAAGGAGAAAACAAATTTTAAGAGCTGCTTACAGAGACCCTTTTATTAGATGTGTTCAAGGAATGCAACCGGATTTTAGCAGAACTGAATTTACTGTGTGTTCATAGCATGAGCTGAGCCGTGGGGGGTGTGCAGTGGGTGTGGCTTTTTTTTTTTTAGGAGAGTCAGGCAGCTGAACTTCAGACTGAATGTTTTATGAATTGAAGCTTAGAGTCCAGTGGATATTCTTGGTGGTGTTTTTAACAAAAAAGGTATAAATTTATATGCCAGCTGTTCCTTTCCACATAAAATACTTGCTGTGTGCTGGTTGTGTAGAGGCTTGTTCATCTGGCCTTAGCTAGCTATTAATACCTTTTTAGCAGCACCTTGGCAGAAATTTTTTTCTTGAAGAAAATAGAAGGAATACAATGCTAATGCCAGCTTCTAAGTGTTTTGATGTATAAACAATGCCTAGTGGATATCCTTTTGATCAATGGATGTCACAATCTTAGAGTTGATTTGATGTTACATTATGTGGAGTAGTATTTCTGAATAGCGTTGGGCACTTGAGGATGTTTTTCCAAAACAGTCCTTCGTTGATAGCAGGTAAATATAAAATGACATTCCTACATTTTGTGATGTTCTTCCAAAAAAAACTTCCCCCCCGCCCCCCCCCCCAGCTGCATCAGAACGTTGTTGTTTCCTCAGTGTAAACTGAATGTATTGTGAAGTGTAGCCTGTGACTAATCGCCTCTTGCTGTCTTTATGTATTAACGGTCTGATGGTGATGTGGTTGCACCACTTTCTACATGTGGCCTCAAGGACATAGTACTGTGACACCCGTATTAAAATATGCAAGGCTTGATTTCAAAAGATGTTTTGGGTTGGAAAGAGAGGTTATAAGCTAATATTTTAGCTGGTTTTACTCCTTTTATTTTAATGAACATAAGGTGACAACAAAATAAGGTGTACTTATTTCATGTTAATACATTCTAAGATACAGTTGATGTTCTAGAGGCTTATTTTCAATTGTTCTCCAGTTTTGTTGAATTAATGTTAACCGACAGTTAAAGCAGTATGTTTGGAATACGACTTTGCAGGTTTTTTTAACCAAAGATACATTGAAAGTTTTTTAAATATCAGTGTTTTGCAAGTTAGTTTGGTGCATTAGCACTGGATTAAAATACCATAATGGCACACTGGCTTTTGAAGTTGCATGTGCCTTTATCTTTCTAATCAATATGACAAAATGAAACAAATGCTGGACTGGTAATTGATTATTGGCAAATGTGTAACTTACAGGTTATTGTAGAGAGAGAGTAACTGTGTGAATGTATTAATTATTCATTGGTGTCTTGGTAGCTGTGAAATAGTCCCGTTGCAAAAATATTTTCTGTGGTCTTTATCCTTCTTTAGTAAAGATACTCTGTCTTTCCTTCTCCCTCCTGCTTCCCGGTGAAACCCCAAATATTGTCTTGTTATGAAATGAGATATAATTTAGTTTAGGAACAGAAACTTGATCTTCTCAGGTGTTTGTTTCGTATTCGTGATGATAATTTTAAGAGAAACAGGAAACACAAATTAGTTTCTCTATAAGATTTACTAAAATAATGAATGGAGTTTACCAAAACTTTGTGGGTAAATTTTTGAAACCTCAGATAACTCAAGGCCTAAAGTTGTGGTGAGTACCACTCCCTCTGACAACTGTAAATTAAGGCATCCAGTTGAAACTGTATGAAACTGATCATTTTAAATCTGTAGTTTGTAAGTAGAATCTAGCAAACCATTTGGCACTTAATTGGAACAAAGTATGCAGTATAATATTTTACTAGTGAAAATACTTTGTTCTACACTGCAATTATTTTGTTCATCCGTGTGTTTTATGGCTGTACAAGTGTTTAATGATGCTTCCTCTTTAGTGATTTGTAAATTAATTTTTTTGAACATTTTATATTTTAGGCGCTTATAAGAAGAAATAGGAACCTTTTCTCAAGCTGAAGACAAAGTAAAAGAAAACCGTATCATGTGTTAGAATACTGAAGAGTGACATTTCTTGGATTAGTGTATTTTTGGATTGCAAAGCAAAAGAAAGAAGCTGAAAATGGGGAGAAAGAAAATACAGATCACAAGAATAATGGATGAACGGAACAGACAGGTGAGAAACAAGAAGTTTGCTTGAACAAGTTCGTCATTAATCCTAAAAATGAGTGGAAACTTTGAATATGCTGATCTTGATTCACTCTTCTAAAGCCAAACTTTGTCTTGATGTATCTACAGATGGCATTGCCAGAATACAGATACGAAATGTGTCTCGATGGTTTTACTACTGTTTGAGGGAAAATTGTTATTTGTAAGTTTTATATCTCAAATCAAATTCACTGTGAAACTACTATTCCTTTTTAAATGGTACGCTAGTCTGTACTTTCAGTAGACTGGAGGATTGTGTTGAAACAGACACCTTACTTGAGTTGATAGCTGCTAGGAACACTGAGTAATGAAGAGAGAGAAAGGATGTAGTACAAGTGTTTGCTATAGCCTCTTTGGCAGAGGAGTTTGACATAGCCGTGGACAATGATTTACAGTGTTTTGGATATAGTAATGAATTTTGTTAACGTGATTCTATTTAAAAGCATTGACTTACATTCCTTA